AACCAAATTCTAAGTGTTCTGCTGTCACGTGATATATGCACATTTATCTATAGAGTAAATGCTCAAGGAAAAACTGCTTTGTTTTGAGGTTTTCACTCTTGATGAATCAGTACTCAGATATAAGAATATAAAAATTTATGTACATCACAAAATTCAAATCCATCTTATCCAAACACAGGAACAAAAAAGAATCTGAAAATTTTTAAGATTTGAGACAGAAACTGTCCACCAGGGTCTGAGCAGCACCCTTGCCATGTCAAATTCAGGAACTGAACGGATGTTGACAACCTGTTATCCCTCACTATTAAGACTCTCACCCAAACTCAGCATATAAATGCAACAGATTCAGACTACAGGAGTACTTGTTAAATCTTCAAGGGTTTGTTTTTTAACATAACTTACAAAAACCTACTGAAACTGTTCAGCAATGTGCAGGCATTCTACCAAAATCACATTAAGATGGGCTAAAACAGATCTTAGAAAACATCTTTTTATGCCACATTTCTGAGCAGTCTTCTGGAACAAGTATGGCAGTTATTAGGTCATTGCTTTGCCAAACTGGAACTAGGATTCTCTGCAAATCACACCTCTGCTTTGCCAGCTGGCTTTTTAAAAGTTCTACCAAGAAAAATAGCCAAAACAACGGACTGAAAGGCTAGAGAAGAAAGAAATGAACTGTAACTCTCACCTATTCTTTGGGATTCCCAGAGCTGGATTGGCACACCCTTTAACCCCAGTGCTTAAGGGCACAGAGGCAGGCGGATCCTGATCTACCTTACAGATCCCTAGTCAGCCAGGCTACATAGTTACACTCTGTCAGAGGGGAAAAAAAAAGAGCAGGCAAACAAGTAGGCATGCACACACTTCCACAGCACCAAGTAAATCCACTTTTCAGTGTTTCTAACACTTGAGATTTAGCGTTGTCACACCCAATTCAGAACCACCAGCATCTTCCTCAGAAGTCTAGGTCTCAGTCTCATACACTCTCTTTTGAAAACTAAGAGCCCAGAAGCAACGATGGAACAACTTCTCTCCTCCTACACCCCTTTTTCAAAGGCTCATCTTCTACGTTATTGAATCTTTCTCTGGACCAAGTCCTATGAGTAGATGATGTTTTCTTATGTCTTCACAATACCTTAGAGTTTTGCTTTTATCCTTCTGCTGCCTAGTTAACAACTTTATATCTAATTAGACTGTTTCTACTAAGATATCTTCTGTCCAAATATCTAGTATGGGCCTCCCAAATAAAACCACAGGTAATAAAACAATCTCAATATACAGAACAGGATATCTTCTTAAGTTTTTGCTTTTTTTTTTTTTTTTTTTTTTTTTTTTTTTGGACAGGGTCTCATGTACCCAAAACTGGCCTGGAACTCCCTATGTAACATAATAACCTTGAACTCCTGATCCTCTTCCTTCCACCTCAAGTGTTAGGATTACTAGCATATAAGGCCACATGAGGCCTTGTAATTAGTACCAGGAAAAGTGATAGATGCCTATAATTCCAACAATCGTGATTTTAAGTCCAGCTTAAGCTACATATTGAACCTTGTCTCAAATAATTTTGCATATACTATTAAGTAAAGAGCACAGTGTGATAAGAACCACCTAGTTAAATCAATACATTTAGCTGTCACAAACAGTACTTAGAGAAAATTGAGTTTTTCCTGAATTCACACATAATTATCTATTGAGAAAATAACATGAATGAAGACATTAAAGCTCTCTAAATTTGCTGTTACTTTTTAAAATCATAAAAATACAGCAACTACAATTTAAAAACCAATCCTAATGCATTCTAAACAAGGATATGCAACATCATCTGCAAAATATAATTTAATTAACTTACTGTAAATATTTAAGGAAGCTGGGTGCACTTTTAGTCCATTTACCTTATCTTCCCCCTCCAAAACTCAACAAGTTTTATTTTGGAGATACGGTTTTCCCATACATCCCATGTTGGCCTTGAACTCAAAATCCAGTTTCTGCCAACAATCCTGGTTCACCCAAAGACTTTCATAAAAGTTCACACACTTTCTTTCATTCTACTCCCTGACTTTGCTTACATATATATTGCCAATTTTCACTCATAACTACAATTACAAACCTCCACCAGCCATACATACAACTCTTCTCCACTAGCTCATGTACTTTCTAACTTTAGGTTAGCCACTTTTTAGACACAGATAGACAGCACACAAGCACACAATGATCCAGAAGATACATATAAAGGGAGGAAAGGAAAACAAGCAGTATCTCTACAGGTCCAAGCTACTCCAAGAACTCAGGCTCTTTTCTGGGAGGTGATGGTCAATCTTGATTGTCAACTTAATGAGACTTAGAATCACTGTAGAAACAAGCCTCTGCCCACTTAGGGGATTTTCTAGATTAGGTTGAGGTAGGAAGGCACACCTAAGTGTAGGGAGGCATCATTTTATGGGCTGGAGTCCTGGACTAAGGAAAAAGGGAAGGAAGAACAGCTTTCTCCACTCTCTGCCTTCCGGCTGCAGATTCAATGTGATCAGCTTCCTAACCCTCTATAAATCCAAATACACCTTTCCTCCTTTAGGATTGTTGTTTTTCCTCTTCCTTTTTTTTTTTTTTTTTTTTTTTTTTTTGTCGGATACTATGTCACAACAGCAAGACAAGTATTTCTGGTTTGGGGAAGGGCATGGAAAGATGTTTTAAGTAATCAAGTTTTTAACATCCTCCTGGGGAAGGGAGGCTGTATCTTTCTTTTCTTATCTGAAAACAGATTCCACTTTAAAAAAAAAAAAAAAAAACAATGACAGACAACAGTTCTCTTCACACACATATCTCTGAGGATGGGAATCTGTTTCTAAGAGCAGCCATACAGAACATTACAGAAATGAAAGTGTTTACTGTGACTCTGATGTTACTGGGCTTCAACATTCGTGCTGGTAGATTTATAACTGTACTTAATTCAGATTCTAGAATATTAAACACTACAGCACACTGTGGGTAAATTAAAGGTTCACCTCAGTTCTGTAACCTTACCAAGCAAAATTTATACGAGTACTCAACTTAACTGAATGTTATATAAGGCCTTAACTTAAAACATAAACCAAGCAATAGCTTTTATACATGATTGTTCCAGCATACTGCATTATACATTTTTAATGAAATCTAGCCATCTTGAAAGAGCAAAGTCTACAAAACAGCTTGATATGACCATTACCAAAGTAGGACTTGTTAAAAAAAAAAAAAAAAAAAAAAAGACTCCTCTCATCACATGAATATTAATCACCATGAAGCCAAATCAGTTCTAGAGCAGTTCTGAGATAAAAGAAATGGCCAGCCCCCCCCTTGCAAAAAAACAAAATAGAACAATATAGATATGCCTTGTCTTCAAAGGGAGGGTAAGCACTCAAGCTAAATAGGTGAAAAATGTGTTCTCATGGTAAGAAAAGCCATATTGGTGTGGAAGCTTTCTAGAGAATAGCAAGGAGCTTTGCTCTGGTGAATGCTAGTACTGAAAATCCAAAAAGGTAAACTCACTATTCATTTTCCTTATGTCATTCTAGAAAAATCAGAATCTGTCTCAAACTTACATGTTAGTGACTCTAGCAATGTGTTCTCTCTCTCTCTCTTCTTGCCCTCTATTCATCATTTACTCTGCTCTAGCCAGCATAATGTTCCTCAAACACAGAACAGCCTCCTACTGTGGCAATTTCTAGATTCCCTCTACTTAGAATGCTCATTCTCTGCATACCAAGTATGTACCTGGCTCATTCCACCTCTCTTCCAACTCTTCACTAAAATGTCTCCTTTTCCTGGGTTATTTTTAACCCAGTTCAAATTAACACCTACCCCTCTGATTCCTAGTCTCTTCCACTTCTTCCTCAGATAACTCTCAATATCTAACAAGAGATACACTTATTTTGCTTAAGAAGCAAAACAGCAGATGTACATGTATGTATATATGTATGTGTGTACCTGTGTTTTTTTTAACAGTAAAGATGCTTTATTGTACTTCACTAAGGAAATTAAGAGTGATGCTATTCTACTGTTACATAAAGTTAGAATAATGGTGGTTGGTGGGACATCAGGTGAATAAACAATACTGACTGTAGCAACCTATAATTAGTAATTGTTTCCATCAACATTTCATATTCTAGATTTTGATTTGAAAGCTTTCAATTAAAACTGAGTTTAGATTACCCCTCCCCCCACCCCAGACTTTCTGAGACAGGGACATCCTATAAAGCAGCACTGGTACCTGTCTGTTTCCTGAGTGCTGGGATTAAAGGCATAAGCCACCACACCCAGAAAGGTTACTTTTCAAACCTGCTCTTGGATCAACACAATCCCTCAGAGGCCACTAACAGAATAGAACATAGGAACCTGGGAAGCTTCATACCCACTAGACCTAACATGAGTTTGGGTTCAAAGTATTTGGTAACTTAGAAAATCTGAAATCACTAGCTTTTATAAAACAATTTAATTCCTAGATTTTAATTTTATTTGTTTAGTTTAATGTAGAAGAGGATAACCTAAATACATGATCTTACCACTCTTCGGTAATTTAGACTTTCTTAATAATCTGCTACAAAGCAACAAAATGTATTTTTTAATTAAAGCAAGTAGAAAACAGATTAAATATTTTTTTAAGAAGACAATAAAAGTGTAGTTACGTTGTTTCATGTTCTACATTATCTCTGGAGATTAACAGCTCTAAATCCCATTTCCTCAAAAAATCTCTACAAGCATAAATAACCCCCCCACTCCAAACTACACTGCTTCACAAACAGTAGTATTTTTTCAAGCATAAATAACACCCCCCATTCCAAACTACATTGTTTCACAAACAGTAGTATTTTTTTCTACAGCAAAGGTGATTTATTGTACTTCACTGAAGAAATGAAAAGTAATGCTATTCTATAACAAAACTGTACTGGGCCTCACCTTGAAATTCACTGAAACATGACATGACCAACATAACTTCAAATTTTAGATGTTCCAATAAAGAAAGTACTCACCTTAATGAAGTTACAGATGGACAAGCTTGTCCATACAAACCCATCTGGCCACAAAGAGAATCTAAAAGTAAAAAAGAACTCAGTGTTAGATGCTTCAAAGTAAATTAAACTATAACCCAACTGCAATTTTAATAAAACACTGAACAACAACAACAAAAGCAAAAAAAGCTAAAAGGATCGCCACTAATAAAACATGTATGAATGAGAAAAGTATTACTGATGGTATCAATGACCCCATGTCAATCATGTAAGAGACCTCCTAATATTTAACAGATGAGTCATAGCATGGAGTGTGTCCAAAGTGTTCAGTAGACTCCTAAGCATTCCAGTAAGGTTCCTGAAAGCTATCATTAGCACTGAACATGCCAATACCTATCTATGCACATCATCTCCCCCAACACAACAAGTCTTCAATGAATAGTGCTATCATTACTGGTTTTGTATATTAAATGTCACTAACACTTGAAGTGAAGAAATAGTTGCAGTGCTTTAAAATCAGAAAATTAAGAGCAGAGTAGCACTTGAGTAAAAGGGACTTGAATAGTTCATATTCTGATACACTACTATTTTCTTCATTAAAACTTGGGGATAATACCACCTTCTAATTTTATGTATTAACCATTACAGACTTGCTTAGAATAAATGAATAAATGTAAATGTATCTATTAGCACACCGTATAACAACTGCAGAATGCCAATATTTCTATGAGGCACAAATATAATCCACAAATGCCTAGCTTTAACAAGTACTACAATAAGATTGGAAAGTCCACAATGTGTAGAGTGTACACATGGTGAGATTCGAGGAGCTGAAGGGAGTGCTTACACTCAAGAGCTCACTCACTCCCAGTTCCATCCCAGTGTTGCTAGGCAGCATTCTAGACAGTGTTGTAAGAACTCCCAAGTTCTCAAAAGAAGAAATTCAAAACCTTGCTTGAACTCTGACTCTTATTTTCTAAACACTACAAGGGCCAAATAAATCTCTAGATTTTGTTCTCAAGTTTATAACCTTGCAACTAACTAAAGAGAGAAACTTCTGTTTTACTTGGGATGGCAAGATGGATGGCCTGACTACCATAACCACTGAAAATAACTATAATACTGACTACATAGTTTGAAACCCTTATAAAAGTACCAAAAAGTGCCAGGCAATGGTGCCACTCGCCTTTAATACCAGCACTCAGGAGCCAGGGGCAGACAGATCTCGTGAGTTCAAGGCCAGCCTGGTGTACAGAGAGAGTTACAGGACAGGCTCAAAAACAATACAGAGAAATCCTGTCTTGAAAAACAAAAAACAAAAAGGCATGAAATAGATGAAAGTAAACATACAAGAAGGAGGAAACTAAAGATTGGCAGAGTACTAAAATCAGCCTTTCTTGGACATTTGGACAAACTCTTAAGAATTAAAACTTGGAATTCTAAGACCTCTCAAAGTAAAAGCAGCAAAACATGAGTCAAGAAACCAAGGGAAACTGCTTTTTACTCCTTAACACTAAATGAAGACAAGGAGATGGAGCTAGTACAGCAGTGCAGTGACCTCTCCCATGGCACACAAGCTCAGAGCTAGAATTCTGCTCAACATGCCTGTAAGATATTGGAGAAACTTACCTTTGACCTAGGTCTGAAAGAAAGAAAAAAGAAATCCTCCAAGCAGGGGTTCAAAATAATCAATGTGAATAAATAAATGAATGCACAGTAAAAACACAAAAAAAAAAAAAAAAAAAAAAAAAACAGAAACAGGCTACCCACAGCAAGACAGAGCAGAAATAGCAACACAGTCAAACCACAGAGCTCAGGTACAAGGTTACCTTTCTCTGTTGTGTTACTTCACAGGTAGTTTACCTAGCACTACATTTTAAATGCCAATATGCATGCAGATCAAATGGGTCTGTCTCCATTAGTGTACCCTCAGTTCTCCAACCATGTACAAACACTGCCTCCTGAAAATCCTAAACTTAACATTCCTAAAAGTGACTCCATCATCTTGATTAAAAAAAAAAAAAAAAAAAAAAGAAAGAAAGAAAGAAAGAAAGAAAGAAAGAAAGAAAGAAAAGAAAAGAAAAGAAAAGAAAGCAGTCTTTTCATATAAGATGGCTCTCCAGGCTCTACCTAAACTCTTTGTTAGAGCTAACACTTCTTTCTAACTCTTGGTTTCTATGAAGTACACTTTCTCTAAACACTCCTGGCCTCTTCTTAGTCTACTCCTCTCCAAAGAAATTAATTTTGTAGGTAGGTAGAACTTAATAAAAGACGTGAACAACTAGGACTTGGTCTCTTCCCTCTTTATCTGGGACTGTGGGGCAGGATTCTGGGTGCAATTGCTGTTAACCCAAACATCACTCACAATAGTATGTATCATAGATAGGTGGCAATGAGAGCTGTGGATTAGCCAAAATCACTTTGACTCATTTTTAACTCTTTGAAAATCATTTTCCTCTGTAACTGTATTTTTTTTTAAAGGCAAAGGAGACTGAAGATAAAAACTCAGTGGCAGACTGCTTACCTAGCATGCACAAGGCCCTAAATTCAATCCCTAGAAACACACACACCCCTCTTTCAAAGTTCAAAGTTATCACAGACTCACTTCTAATTATAGACATATGTATCTCCAAGACTATATAATCCTATAAAAAATTGTACTTAAACATTCCATAGCATTTGGCTATTCATAAAGAACAAATGCCTATCAGCTGATAAATAGGAAAACAAAATCCTGTGTTAATATATCAGTGGCAACATATGTAACAAATAATTCCATCATAGAAGAAAGGAATGACATCTTTTTATGTATTACAAAAAAAAAAGAGCTTGTGAAAGCCTATACTAAGTGAAAACTTATTCACAGAGATCCACCCATTATATGATTTCATTTACACAGTCCAGGATAGCCAAACGCTTATCTAAGACATGACAATAGATGGCAATATTGTTGCCAGGAGACTGGGTATGGAAGACAGCAGGTAAGAAGTGGTTTCTAAGAGGTTTCTTTGACTACCTTTGACTTTGATTCAGTGAGTCAATCAACCCATTTCTTCCAAAGTTGAAAAAAAAAAAAAAGATAAAAGATGGGCTGGTAAAATGGTCCTGCAACCCTGGCACCCATGTTCAATCCCCATAACATAAACTAACAACTCCAAAAAAATCAGCCTCTGATAGCCACATACATACATCTAAACACAGGGTTTTGTGTGTGTGTGTGTGTGTGTGTGTGTGTGTGTGTGTGTGTGTGTGTGTGTGTGTGTTTTGTTTTGTTTTTGGAAACAGGATTTCTCTGTAACTTTGGAGCCTGTCCTAGAACTCACTCAGTAGACCAGGCTGTCCTTGAACTCACAGAGATCCACCTGCCTCTGCCTCCCAAGTGCTGGGACTAAAGGCATGCGCCACCACCACCTGGCTACACAGAAAAAAAATTTTTTAAAAGCATGTTAAAATATTAAGATCTGTTTAAAACTGACCAGTTCTCTAATCTAGTCTTTGTGTCTATTATTTCTATCTCAACATAATTTAGTATTAATTAGAAGAGCAAGCTATATCCAGAATATATACAGAACCTTCGAAACTCAGTAATTAAAACAACCTAATTTAAAAACAGGCAAGGATTTCAACAGCCTCGGCTACAAAGAAAAAAAGGCAGACATCATACAAAAATCATAAGTATTTAGCATTATTTGCCACAAAAGAAACATAAATCAAAACCATAATCACAACAGGCAAGCTGGCCTGGGTGAGGGAGCAGTCATGAAAACCTGACTACCTGAGATGAACCCCAGAAGCCATGGTGGAAAAAGCAGGAACAAACACCTGTACCCAGACATAACAACAGTTAAATCATTTATATATTTTCAACTTCTTAAAGCTCTTAAAGTCCTTTAGTTGCTAGTATAGCTCCTCTGAAAAGCCCATCAGCCCATCAAAAAAGCTAAGCACTCACCTGAGAGAGGGAGGGAGAGAGGGGAGAGAAGGGAGGGAGTGGGAAGTGGGAGGAAAAGGGAGAGGGAAAGACAGAGAGAGGGGGAGGGAGGGGAGAAGGGACAGAGGGGAGAGTAAGGAGAGAGAGAGAGAGAGAGAGAGAGAGAGAGAGAGAGAGAGAGAGAGAGTCCCCTAAATATATAAACCCACAGGAAAAGCCGGGTGTTAGTGGCACACACCTTTAATCCCAGTACCCAGGAGGCAGAGGCAGGTAGATCTCTGAGTTTGAAGCCAGCCTGATCTACAGAACTAGTTCCAAGACAGGCTCCAAAGCAATACAGAGAAACCCTGTCTCAATCAATCAATTGATCGATCAATCAACAAACAAACCCATAGGAAAAACCTAAACAGAAGATTAAATTCTAACAATCCAGATGTCCACTAATAAGTGAATGAATAGTGTGCTAAAAAGACTATGTACATCTAGTACTGACAAAAAGAAATGATACATGCTACAACACCTACAACCTTGAAAACATTATGCTAAAGGAAAAAAAAGACAGGAGAAAAACAAAAACCTATGACCATGTAATTCCATTCCATTTATACAAAATATCCAAAATTGGGCAAAGTCTGAATTAGTAATTAGACTCTCTTAGTTTCTTAGGACTAGCAGGGAGAAGAGACATAAAAGGAGAATAGGGACTGACTGCTATTGAGTACGGAGTGTCTTAGAGGAGGAGGAAAAAGTTCTATAATCAGATTGCAGTGCTGTTTGCACCTGTGAGTACACTAAAAACACTGATTTCACACTTAAATGGGTGAACTATATGATATGTGAATTGTAGGAAAAGTTCAGCAGTCATACACGTTTTTATTCTGTCAAGTCCTGCTCTCTCCTTTATAGTACCTGCCACAAGATCCAAAGCTAGAATGAAAGAAAGTAAAGCACTGACTTCATTAGAAAGCAACTCTCCTAACAATCACTTTCAAATTGATAACCCTTGATCCATTCAACAGTATGTTCTGAGGTCTCCACTGTTTCCAAAAGATACTCTACTCACTAAAAAATGATACACATACAGACCAATACAATAGCTCATACAAGTGGGAGGGGTGAGTTTGGTGTATATGATCAATGTATACATGTAT